ACTGCATTTAGAGAGCCATGTGTAAACAGCTCCATGGTGAGGATAGCATTACATTCTAGCCTCCTCCCTATTAGCTTCCTATAAAAATAAAACAAGCCCTTCTTTTCTGTGTGAAGTATTGCAGTTTCTAGTCAAAGATGAATCTTGTTACCTTGTTTTTGGTATTTGAGTTTGGTTAGACTAAATGCTTCTGAAAGAATGTTTTTTAAATTTAGTCTTTTAGATGGGTTTGTCACTTCTGCTATTTTTTACTGTGTGTGTTTTCTCTTAGGGTTTCCTTTTTTTCTTGTTTTTGGAAAGCCTTGTTTAATACTGAGAGTGGTTGAACAAGAACCTATTGACCAATTAAATTTCTTTCTATTCAATTACAAATGTAAACTTACTGTTGGGACTACTTTAATGTCCTTGCACAGGTCCCACCCAGCTAATGCTCTATATTCATTGTAGCTTCTCCTGGAGCTAATGAAATTTCCTGTTTCTGTCACTACCAGTCAGATACTGTCTGTTTTAATTACTGCTGCACTCATTCACCAGCTTTGCATTTACAAACTTTCTCTAGTGTCGTCCCCGGTAGCAATATACTGTGGTACTTTCTTCATAATCTTTTGTACTTTGTTTTGTGTGACATCTTTGCACATGAGAGTTTTTTTGTGTAATGCATTTGTTGATCCTTTTGGAGTGTAGGGATACTCTGCTTCTTAGGATTGAAGCACTGCCACACAAAGCCAAGGAGTTGGATGAATGGATCTGCTGTACAAATTCCATCTCAGTCCACTGTTACTATTGGCCTTGTCTTTTCTTGGGTAGTATAAGCAATGGGAGCATCAGAGCAGTACTCCTGAGGTACGTATGGATGCACTAGTACATTTGTGCAACGTTTCCATCTGCTTCATGAACAGTTTCATCTGTAGTTCGTTACCTTGCACAAGTTCTTACAAGCACAGGAAATCTGGTGGCTTTCCCAGTGAAGTACGCTCTTTCTCAAGGAACACTTAGTTTGGATCCACAGACTTGTAGAATTGCATTGCGCAGAAGAGTAGTTCTGAAGCATAGTCTAAATGAACTTCAAATAGAAAATAACCTCTGTGTTGATCAAATGTAATAATAGTTACTGAGTCAACTTGCCCGATTCTGAACCTGAAAGAATGTAAGTATGGTAGGCCTGGGGAAGTAGCATGTATGGAAGTAGAATTTTATATGGAAGCTACAGGGAAGGGAGCAACATATTTTAAAGGAGTACAGGTCAAACGTGGAACAAGAGTCAACAAAAGCTCATGAGGTTGGCAGATGAACAGGGAAGCGGTCTTTCAGTGTGTGCTGAAGTGTTCAGATCCTGCTTAAGTGCCCTTACTAATCTTATAAAAGTTTTGATGGCTGCACATCACTTGTATTTTAACACATGGTGGTTTGGCTCAGTGGAACGTGAGCTCCCAGTTATGTTCGGTTGAATTGCTCTACTATTTATCTTTGTTTTCTCTGCTATCCTCCAGATCACTTGTGCATAATAAATAAATATTCAGTTTCTTGTTTCCATATTTCTACTCCCGTCTGTTTTGGATGTGGAAGCTGGATGGCATGTCTGTTGATCACCCTGTTGTATATTCATGGAAATGGGTTAGTGCTGACTTACCAAATGTCTGGGTTTTTACTTTGCCTTGAGGGATTACCTGCATGTTCCACGCCCCCACATACTTCTTTACCAGCCAAACACCTGATGCAACTCTGCGAACTTTAGACAGGCCACCTGAGCAGTTAAACTGGTTCATTTAGGTTTCTATACATCCTGCTACATGCCAGCATGGAGATGAGAGGGACGGCAGGTTGTGAATGTGTTGCACTTTATCAGAGTAGACTTTAGACTTTCTGTTAAATATCCAGAAGCGATAAGAAGAAAGAAAGAAAAAAAAATAGAGAAGGACCTGCCATTTGGAAGGCAAAATTAAGTCTAGGACTCTTCCACAGAAGAATTAGAGGTAGGGTTGATAATCATAATTGTTCAGCCTATGAAATTTTGTAACCTTTCTGTCTTCTATTATAGACTTAACCATTTTGAGTTAAATTTCTTTTAGTGAATACAGATCTTATCAGGTTAGTCAGTAATAGACAAGAAATTTTCAGTCTAAATGGAAGCAGGACCATGGACTTCAGTAATTAATGCTTTGCAGTGGTTCAAGTGTTGCCACAATTAGTTTGATTGCTGGAGGATGAGAAGTGAGTAACATCTGATAAATTAGAAAGTGATATTTTGTTAAGTTGGTACTTGAAGACCAGTCCACAAAGTTTGCACTGAGAAGGCAGAATGTGCATGTTATAAACAGGAAGATTTTAGGTCTTGGTTATGTTCATTCTTGCTTTAAGAATGCAATGTTTTTAATCCATTTCTTTATATGTGTTTTGGCAGCCTGTTTTTTTTTTTTTGCAAATGAGTAACCATAAACTGTCTCTGTAGATAGTCTGGTATTTTCTAACACATACATGCATATATATACATGTGTAAAACCAGAATACAGATCTGACTCTTCAAGGACATCCACAAACCCCTGAGAGGATGTGTAGGGTGAGAAGGGATTTGCTTCCTCCAAGATGTACATACATTCTATATTGGATGCTATAAGAATGTAATAAGAAGCGAATGGACTACAGATAGTGTACATTGGCTAAGGGTGTGCTTATCTGAATCACTTTTACTCTTTGCATTAATGTTTGGTGACCATTTTCATTAATTCCTCTTTCTTATGGCAATGTTATTTTGTGCATGTAATGCAACCTTAGAGAAAATGAAATACTTTCCTTCAGGATGGTATTTTAATTTTTTAAAGTTTGTTATTTTATTCAAGCAAATTAAGGCAGTTCTCTACCAGCCTTATCCTTAAGAGCATTTCCTTTGTAATGTTCTTTAATAATGCACTAAGAAAAATCCGCATGAAAGCTACTGTATGTACAGAGCTTTGTTGACAGTATAGTGTGTACATCAAAAACAACAATCAAATCAACACAATTTTCCTTTAATTGTCAACACAACTTGAGAATTATCAAGTGTGTGCTCCTCCTCTGCCTGATGACATTTACCTAAACCTCTTTTATAATTGCATATCTTTGCCCAGGGAAGTCCTTTCCATTTACCTGTAAAGAAACAAAATAAATGAATGTTTCCAAGTTTCTTTTAAAGGTTATTATATAATTTCTTCATTGTATTGATATTTTTCATAACCACCTGTACTTTTTAATGCTTCTATCAGTATTTCCTACTTCTCTTTGCAACAAATAGCGATTGCCATTGAAGTGTCAAGTATTTGTCCTTTGCCTAATTCACATTCCCATGAAGTTCTCTGAAATGCTGTAGATACCCAAAGTTTGTGTATCCACACTTACATCCAGAGTGCAAGTTTCTAAAGGTTTTATTTGTGCTGCTAACTGAAAATATTGCATTAATTTTTATATGTATATTTTAGCCCTTGAGTTTAACTGTGGTAACAAACAAATAAATGTTGTATAAGGAAATAGGTGGTTTTGGACCCACCCTACTTGTCTTTGACTATTTGAGAGGAAAAGACTGACAGTGGCAAAACTTAGAAAAGGAGAAGCCAACAGCTGTGGAGGTTTCCATTCTTGTTTAGTCATCTGAGCTTAGTTGTGCGAGTGCCTTTCAACAAGCAAGAAAAGAATAGCTGCATATGAACCATGTGAGTCAATATGTGGTAGCTTTCTGAGCAGATCCTGAAGGAGTGAAAACCTTCCTATTTTGTTACTTTGTAGAGATGAGATAATTTGTGTGTGTGTGTTTAATTAAAAATCTTTATCATTATGCTAGCCAACGATAAAGAAATGGACCACTGAGCTACCACACAGAATAATTGTTTCAGGCGTGTCCCTTCTTCAGTAGCTGTTTGAAATAGCATGCAGAGGTGTACTTGTCCTTGGCTGGAGAGTCTGGGGAATGGGTTTTGTTGCACTGATTTTAAAGCATTTGCATGCATAACTGGTCAGCCTGTTCTCGGGGGGATGTTTCACAGGAATTCTGTTTGTCTGAAGAAGTGCTGTTGCAATGGCTTTCCATTTGGGATTTGGTAGGAAGAGATGGGTGGTTTTCACCATTTGTTTTAAAGGTGGTGAATTGAGTAATTTTTCTTCTAGGTATGGCTTATATCAAAGACTATTGAGCCTTCAGAGAAGCTGTATAAAACAATAAAATTACGTGATACTGCAGTGGGCATTGAGAAGACTTATGCTTCTGATGTCGAGAACTTGATTAAAAACAATGTTGTTTACCCTTTCTTTAAAGAGGAAATCTATTTTCAGTTTGCCTGAGATTCATTTGATGTTCACTTTCTTTTGTAGTGACGCATGCTTGACAAAAAGATACATTTTTGGCTGAAGCCAAAAGAAAAAGTGAAGAAGGTTGTGACATGGTTAAAAATTAGAAGTGAGAGCAAGCATGTGTTAGGTGCCTGTCTCCCCTTCTCTGTGTTTACTTTAAGAACTGGTAATCATCCCATTGCATGGCCTTAGGTGGTGGTATGTTTGTCCAGCTAAGGGTGTGTATTTCCTTTGTTAAACATAGTTTAGAGATTATTCTTTAAATTGTATGGGTGCTATATTTGATTTGATCTGCTATTTGAATCATGCCAGGTTTCAGCTGTAGGTTGTATTTTTGCAATTTCTCAGACCTGCCTTTTCCTTTTTACTTCTGTCCTTGTAAAGCTGTAATTACCAAGCCATGGTCTTGGTGTATGGTACAGCGTTTTCATCAGGTTATAGAAAAAAAAGTGTTGTAGGATTTGGTCTGTATGATTCTTATTCAGAAGCAGCTTGTAAATCTGCTTGAAACTGGTGTTTGGGAAACCTTGCTCGGTATTGCTATCTCCTATATATGTATGTATGTATATGTGTGTGTGTATATATGTAGATATGTATGTGTATATATATATGCAGTCTTTGAAAATGTGTCCATTCACCTATTCATGAAATCCAAATAGTTCACAAGCTTCTCTCTTTTAAAGATTACTCTGAATTGGGAGAACTTCCACCAAGATCCCCATTGGAACCAGTGTGTGAAGACGGCCCCTTTGGGCCAGTGAAAGAAGAAAGGAAACGGACACCCCGTGAACTTCGCGAGTTGTGGAAGAAAGCCATTATTCAGCAGATACTGCTCCTCAGAATGGAGAAAGAAAATCAGAAGTTACAAGGTTGGTGAAGTTCTTGTTTAAACCCTACTGCAATACAAGTTCACTTCATGCCTTTTAGGAATAGATATCTGACATATTTCTATCTCATCTGCACTGCGCCTTTTTTCTCCACCTGAACTGAAAGACCTCTCCTATTTTTTCAATCTCATGACCTGCAAAAGTTCATCCACTGTCCCAAAGGGTGCTTTATTATTTAGTTTACATGAATGCCATTAATAAACCCTTTTTTCAGGTACATTCCAGTACAAAAAAGCCCCCACAGAAACAAAACTTAAAAGCTTTGCCAGGAGTTCCTTTGAAATTGTCACTCCACTTCTAAACTTTGGAATTAACACTCAGCTACAATATTAATTTTCATTTTTGACATGGTTCTTTTGATGCTTTCCCAGCTATAGATTAATTATTTTTTTAACCCTTTTTAGATAACACATGAAGATATAGTGTAATATTCTTATAAACTGTAATTTGGGAACATCACCGGTTACTACAATGCACTTCCACTCCAGGAGCTCTGATGATCTAAAATGTCTTATTTAAGACTGAGTTACACTTTGACCCTTGTTCTGATTTCTTCAGTGGAGACTTTGAGAGCCTCATGTGTATATAGTGTTTATAGTCCTATTTGTGTTCAGGGTTCTGAATTTTTCTATACTTGAGCTTTCCTTTTTATGTAGTCTATAAAAATGGACATGTGAATGATCACCTATAAAGTAATTTTTTACTTTGCCATTACTGTTATGGAGCTGTATGCATAAGGAATAGATGGCTGTATTGGGTTTGTATTTTTATTTGGTGTAGGTCGTCTGCACTAATTTTTTTTAAGAGCTGGGAAATTGAAAAAATCCTGTTAGGTAAAATCTTGCATTTATTTCATTAGTCATCATCTCTCATGTTTCTTCATAGTTAAGAGTTGACTAGCTGTAAGGAACTGAATTTAACAGACCAAACACAGTTAATTTTGCATATAATATCTTTAAAAAAAAAAAAAGCATACAAAAAAATCCCCAAAACTAAAGCACCCCACAATCACAAAAATATAGATATGTAATGTTTTAGTATTAATAGGGTTTAATTTTAGGTGGATTGCATGATGAAGTTCTAAGTTAAATTAATCCATTTTACAAATAGTAAACAATATTAACTGGTGCATTCATGATACCATTTCCTAGCTTCAGAAAACAATTTGCAGAACAAACGTCTGAAACTTGACTATGAAGAGATCACACCATGCTTAAAAGATGTAACTTTGATTTGGGAAAAAATGTTGAGTACACCTGGAAGGTCAAAAATAAAATTTGACGTGGAAAAAATACACTCTGCTGTTGGGCAAGGTAAGCACAGTTTGTTATTTTGAGTTGCTCAAATGCATGTAAATTTTACTAGAAAAGGAATAGGGTGACCTCTTAACCACTCCTTACAACCAGATTCTCACTAGAGCTGTTCCTCAGGTTGCTGACTAAACAAGTAACAGTGTTTGGTGTCTTCATGTTTATGCATATGCAGTTAACATTCCCTTTCAGCAGTAACTACAATTGTATTACTGGAGTTAAAGTACTTGGTATTCATTTTTGAGTAACATTTGTCCTTACAGGAGAGTTGTATGGTACATCAATGTATTACAATTGTTGCAATCTGATTTTATAAATTAAAAGTTATAGTTAAAAGAAAAAAGCCTGGATAATGCTGAAGTGACTGTGTAAAGAACTGAAGAAACTGTCTGCACTATTACCTGGAAATTCTCCGTTCCAGCCGGGCTTGTATTTGTGTATAGAAACAGTATGCATGGATTATCTCTGTAGAACTGCTTTTTTTCTGAGTTCAACAACACATTGTACCTGCAAACACCACTTACAGTCTTCCTCACAATTGCAGGGCTGAGCAACCAGTCTCTCTCTCCACTGCATCAAAAGTGACATAATCTAAGGACTTTTTTAAATGTTCTAAGAAACTGGATTGTTAGTGTTATCTGTGCCATAGCTGGACCCAAAGACCTTATGTTCGGTGTTGTATGTAGCTGATGGTAAAGATGGCTACTCCAAGGAGCTTTTTATAGTTCTATACAAAGCTTTCCAATGTGTAAAGAAAGTCTCAAGAATTCACCACTAGCAGATGTTTAATATTTTAAATATTGCACCTGCCTATATGTAATTACTCAAGCAAGTTAAACTAAATTGTCCATTTCAGACGACTAGGCACGGCTAGATTTCTAACAATATCAAATGCCCCAAGCACAAATCTCTGTAGAGTAAGGAAAGCTCATTATCACAGGTTTCCTTCCATTCATGTAGGTAAAGGGCTCTCTCCAGTCAATATTTGAGCATGAAAAACTTGGTTTCTGTTGATAGTCCAGAGATGCAGTCCTGTGTTAGAGTTCAAAATAAAACTTAAAAAACTTAGTGACGTGAATAAGTAAATAACAAATAAAGCCCTGCTTAGTGGATTGCTAATAAGAAGCATATACCAGTAGCCAGCAGATGGGGAAATTGTCGCTAGCTCTTGATGCTATTATCGTGCTCTGCTCTCTAGAGCACATTTGTGTCAAACCAGAGTTCTTAGAGTGATATCAAATTCCATACATATGCAGAAATGAAAAATGCATTTAAATTGAGTTTAGCAAGTTGTAGTTTAGACCGAAACCATGAAAAATAATTCGCGTAAGCAAGGCAAACAGGTAAGAAATGCAGGTTTCAATAAGCATGGGGCTTAAATTAGGATAACAAATATGTTGACCTATAATGTACACTGTAGTAGATGTTTAAATATAGTGCATCTTTCATTTAGGAAATAGTAAACTAAATACTTCATTTTACATGTATGATGCAGCATACAGAGAAAAACTTAGTATCAGACTGCTTCCTTAAAGGGAATTTGAATACATTTGTAATTTTGCAGCTGTACATGTGCCCTGTTAAGCCAGTTCTCCTCTATGTGACACATTCAACCTCACTGAAGCTAATGTGATTTTTGATGTGTATCTGAAGAGGAGAGCCTGGCTCATTCAGTGTCTGAAACAGCACTTCCACTCACTGTTTCATGTTGGAGACTTTTCGATAATTGGGTTTAAGTTCCCTAAAGTAATTTACAGAAACACTCTGTAAATACACTTGTGATGTGGATTCAAATATTACACATTTCTACTAGCATTTCATTTTCAAGCAATTGTCCGTGGATTATGATAGTGTAGTAAAAATAAGTATTGCAGAGATAAATTCATATCCTTTTGTGCTTGTATGAGAGAAGGAAGTTAAATTGGTCTAGTATGTGTTGTTATCTTTCCATGTAAGTTGTATGCTTGAGTCAATTTTGATTTCTCCTATTGCTGTCATCCATATGTTACATACATAAAAAAAAAAAAAAAAAAAAAAAAAGGGCAGCCCAAAAAACTTCCAAGTTATTTTAAATTGTAGTGTCTGGTTCAAGTACATCATGGATTAGACAGAATACTTTCCCAAACAATAGTGTATTGATCTCTTATGTCGATGATTTAATAGTGCCAGTCTTGTGGTGAATAAAGTATGCACGTAACAATAAACTTTCTGTTACCTTCAGAGCTTTGCGTATAGATACAAATAAAGGTTACCATTACCTATGTGAAATAGTTAAGTAGCATCATCCCTTTTTATAGAGAAAGAAATTCAAGCTTCAGAACATTTTTATGTGTACCAGTCCTTCAGCAAATCAATAGCAAACCTAGAAATACAATCCTTGCTGTCTGACTATCTGCCTTCTGTTGTAGTCTCTAGATCACATCTCATTTGTACTTGTTTATACTTTTGGTATGTGTGCATCCTGCCTTCCTAAAGTTTACTCCTAACAACAGTGTCAGTGCTATATTAGTGAAAAATGTTCTATTGCAGTGCTTTGTTGTATGCTTTACATGGAAAAATGCGAGATGAGCATATAATTTTTCAGAGACAAGTATTGCAATTTTTGCGGCCTCTTCTAGTACTTCTCAGACTGGATTTAAGTGGTAACCTTAGACTTAGGAGCTTACCCTGTTTCTACCTTAAACCTCTCCTGTTAAGATGCTGATGTCTTTTATTGGTTGAGGAAGTATAAGCACTGTAGTTTGACCTGCTTCTATGGTCTGCTGGGGGTAGCAGATACGGATCTAGCAGATAGGGATCTGCTTGCTTATTTGGCAGATACGGATCTTCAGTTCCTCAATCCTGTTAGCTTAACTATAGCTGAACCCTCAGTACGAGTACCAATTACTGTTTTAATGACTGACTTTTCTCAGGAGTACCACGTCACCACCGTGGGGAGATCTGGAAGTTTCTAGCAGAGCAATACCATCTTAAACATCAGTTTCCAAGTAAACAACAGCCAAAGGACACACCTTACAAAGAACTCCTAAAACAACTAACTTCCCAGCAACATGCAATACTTATTGACCTAGGTAAGTACAGTCGTTGTCTGAAATTAAAATAAGGGTTTTATGATCTCTGGAAGAGAAGTAGATAAAAGAAGGTAACACACAAAAAACCTCTCACCATTTAATAATAGGTTGTTGGTAAAAACTGCTTTTTAATCTGGTGTAAGTGAGAACTATTACTTGACACCATTAGGAAAATGCAAAATCTGCATTCCAAGCACAAAGGTCCCTTACAATATGTGGCAATAAAAGATTGTTAGATGTAATTGTAATGCATCTGTATTTCAGATATTGACAATGAACTCCACAGACCCGTGGAATACAAATTGTCAAGAAAGGAAGTCACTATTTAAGTGCAGACTGTTGAATAACATGTGCTATTCATTCCTGATGTCCAGTGTTTGCTGTCTCTGTTAAACACTTTTACTTGAAATAATGCAGAAGTTTTGCTTTTTGCTTTTTTTCCTTTTTTAATGTGTAGTTGCTAGCAGTTGGTATTTTTACTTGTATTAAAACAATTATGAAGGAAGCTCCTTTTAATAATAATTAAAAAAGGCTCTTTTTAAGGCAGGTTATTCACACCTAATTCACTGTCTAGTTTTAAGCAGTAGATGGCTTCTGATTAGGGATAGTGAATTGGTCTGTGGAGGCACATACACTGTTTGAGTGTAGTAGAGAGAGGTTAGGAACCAGGGCTCTTAAATCTGAAGTGACTGACAGGTGGGCTTCAGGCAGGCTTTTCGTCTTCTTGAGTAGAGTTTTCCATTTTCTCTCACATTTATTGTTCAAAACTCAAAAAGCTTTTTCTAGTATTAGAAGGAAACACAAGAAAGGAAATCTAAATGGAATGAAATGATTGTTTTAGGGTAGGAGCAGAAGAGATTGCTCCAGATAATTGTAAAAAAGCAGTCTTCATATAGCTCAAAAAATTATGTGATTCTTAAACCCTTCTTTTACTTTTTCCAGTCCTGTTCCTTTATCACTTTTAGTTCCCTTGTGTGAGATTGTCTTTCATTGACTGCCACTTGCAACTGCTAGACTAAGACGATAACGAAACCCGGGAACAGTTAATAAGACCAAAAGTCAGTATGCTCTGTAAGGTGTGGATCAGTATTAAACATTGTTAACTGCCTCTGGTTGCTGCTGCTCCCGGATGGTTTTATTAAGTTCTGTATCAGCACCAGCGACCTCTCCATCTCAGAAGCTCCCACGAGTCAGCCATTTGTTCTGTAGACCTCACAGAGGTATTTTTTGGCATCCTCTCTGTCTTCCCTCTTGAAGGCTGATCCCTTTTCTCTCCAGTCCTGCCCCCAAGCAGTGTGTGACTGCTCCTCAGCTGGGTTAAATATTCTGTGGAATCTGTTGCGGTCATTAAAGCATTTCTAACATGACAGTAATTATTCAAATGTATGTGACTGTTGAGTCAGATGTTCACATGTCTAACCTTTACCCTGGCAAAAGTATTTGTGTTTGAATGTAAGCCATCTAATGCAAGTCTATAACACCTCACTGGTATATGGCTGTATCAGAAGTTTTTACAGATAATCCACAGATTATCCTCATGAATATATGGTTGTGGATATTTTGTAAGATACTCTTCTCTCCTCCTTTGGATATTTTAATTCAGTTTATTGTCTCAGAAACCCGAAGCTGGTGTTTTTCCAAGGGGATCCCAGCTCTTCTGTGTGGGATAGTCCTTTGCTAACTCAATGTTCATTATGCTCTTCCATAATAAAGGAGAAAATTAATTGTTTTTTCCAGAGCATGACAGAACATACAAAAGGCTTGTGTTGTAGGACTTTTGGTTTGGGTCTGAGGAGTTGTGTGGGGCAATTTAACAGGTCCATGACTAAACGAATTTGCCATGAAAAACTCCATCAGGGAAGTTAGGCACTGCAAGCAACCCAATGTCATGTGTTAGAATGATAAAAATGTGTGGGAAAATCTGTACTTGTTTTGATCTGAATGATTAATACCTATTGTGTTATTTTCAATTATGTCTTTTCTGTAAAGAAATAGTCAGAGTTGTTCCACCACACTTCTGCTCTTTATAATTATTCAAACAGTATTTGAGTACTTTTAATTGCACATGAAAGGCTATGCCTCCTTTCTTCCACATGGAAGAATTGCCTGACGAGGGATCATCTGTACCCAGAGCTGTCCAGGGGCACCTATTTCTTAATAACTCAGCATGCAGACTATCTTCAGCATGTAAAGAACTATCAGAAGATTGGCCCAGTTTAGATGGTGACCTAAGCTTTGTATGGTAAATGAGAATATTTTCTCCTTTTTTTGCAACACTTGGTAAAGTGAGTAAAAATATCAAGGTAGTGCACAGAAAAAAAGAATCTGGTGGAACAGGCATGTTTCTGCAGAAACTGGTGTGAGCTGAGGTGGGGAGGGTGATGGTCGATGCCACCTTCACTTTCCTCCACTTGACAGGCCTTCCAGCTTTAGACTTGGCACTGGGCAAGGGGTAACACTCCAAGGATCCTTAATGACAGCTGGGAATAGGCATTTGCAATGTATGTAAATCGTTTCTCTCCAAATTTTGTCACACCAATTCTAGGAATTCCCCTGGACGGCACAGCACCAGAAGCAGTCTTCTGTTTTTGAGAGAGACATTTGTGTGCAACCAGAGATATTTGCTAGCAAGTACCCATCAGTGAAGTCAGCAAAGCTGGTGTTGATACCCCTGGCAATGAACGTTGGGATTCTGTCGCACTGAAGTGCCTCAGTAAGGGGTGAATAGTTTGGGACTGGATTAGCATATTGAACACCTTCAGCAGAGGGGAGAGGTGTGGGACAATTCCTGGACAGTAGGAAGCACGGTCAGTCTGAGCTTGGTTGGCTCACAGAGCAGACTGGGGCTTGCTGGCTCAGCAAGCTGTTGATATTTTCTGCCTGGTTCTGCTTGTAGAAACAAATGACTGCATGTGTTGGCAAATGGGTAACTGCACAGTGGCTTTCATGCAAAGTGTTGTTTTTGCGGCGGAGCTATTTGCTAGCCCAGTAGCTGAGGGAAGGTTCGGGCCCTATTATTTCAGTAAGATGAAACTAGGAAGCTGAAGGCTTTGGTGATCACATTGAAATAGGGTAGTGCTGCACAGTAACATAGCATAACTGGGTAGCTAGAAGGAATTTGTGTGTTCTGACTTGTGTTCCTTCAGGCTATCAGAAGTGTTTCTCTTAAACAGGTCTGTAAGAATCCTTCTGAAAGCATGCACTTTTCCCTTGAGAGAAAAAAAACTATGTTCTTGCAACATGGTATAATATTTGAAAAACCTTCCCCAAATTAAGCTAACAAGGTCTTGCTAAGACAGTATGAGCCAAAGCCATAATAGTATTACACGTGCTTAGTTGAATCAATGCATCTTCCAGTGTAAATAGTGCTTCCTGAGAGTGAGAACAGCAGTGTGCATCTGGATGCAGAGGTAAGGTATAGCAGCTGCTTTCCTGGCCCAGCTTATGTGTCACAGTGCTATTTTATTAACAAGAAGAAAGCCGCAATTCCCTCAAGGCTTTTTTTTGTATTTCCTTTTGTGGTCCCACCTGCAGAACCTCTGCAGTGACTGGGGATTTCAAGTCCTGAACACCCAAGTCATGTTTAGTAAATGATTTCTTCTCTCAATAAGGTAGGGTAAACTGAGTTCCAGATGCTATCAGTGTAGGAAACCACTGTATTCATCACTGAGTGTTTGCTGAACACACTATAAAATTATGTTTTGTTTTATTACGTTTCAAAAATAAAGTAGTAGGTACCTACCTTCTCATTCTGGTGCTCTTGAGGTATCACAGTTCACTTACAGTCTCTTTTCAGCAGGGCCAGAAGTAGTTTGCTCCTAAGTAACAGCTAAAATTCTTAGTTAAGTCATCACCAGGGCACTCAGAAACAAATCGCCTTGTGGGTTTAGCAGTTCTGCTCCTTCTCCATTTACTGTTTTTAGAACTTCTTAGCATTTTTATTCTTGCTCAGCTTGTTACTTTTCTTCATGACTTGTATGAAAGGACCCTTGCTGCAATAGTGAGGCCATACAGGTCTGCCTTTAGACCATGCTGTAATAACTTGTCATTCAGGCAGAGGTTTCCTTTGCAAAGGAACACAAGCTCCTTCTCATTGGGAGGTTAGAAATATTTCTTCTGTAACATTCAGCTCTGTGACGGCCTGGCCAGGGGAGACCTGCTCAGAAACTGAATGCCAGTGTCCCATGTGACAGGCTAGAGCAGCTACCAGATCGCAGAAGGACTCTGCCCTGGGCTTCATCTTCTTGAAACAGGAGCTCTGATGTTATCTGGCAACACAGCAGCATTCCAGGAGCTAAAGGGTGGGGTCGTATTTAACAAGTGCACAACGGGAAAACAAGCTCCACTTAATACTAGAACAAAGGAGGTATTCAAATTTCTTCTCTGTGGAGGTGTTTCACGGGGGAAATCTGATGAGGGGGGCTTTAATAGAAATTAAAATATTCCCTTTTGGAAACATTTTCTAAAAAAATCTTTAAAAGTGAAGCCTTTAAAGTGTCTGTTCACGGAATCACAGAATGGTTGAGATTGGAAGGGGGCTCTTGAGATCATCTAGTCCAAACCCCTGCTCAAAGTACGGTCACTTAGATTAGGTTGCCCAGGATCATGTTCCGAACCACTCAGGTTTTGAGTATGTCCACAGACGGAGACTCCACAACCGGTATCTGGCCACTCTTACAATAAAAAAAGACTTTTTTTCTTATGTTGAGGTGGGATTTCCTGTATTTCAATTTGTGCCCATTACTTCTTGTCCTGTCAGTGGGGACTACTGAGAAGAGCCTGGCTCCCTCTTCAGTCCCTCACACTGGTTATTTGCGCATACTGATAAGATTCCCCTGAGCCTTCTCCAGGCTGAAATCAGTCCCAAGTCTCTCAGCCGTCCTTCATAAGAGAGATGCTCCACTCCCTTCATCATTTTAGTGGCCCTTTGCTGGACTCTCTGGGATGTCCATGTCTCTCTTGCACTGAGGAGCCCAGAACTGGACACAGGATTCCAGGTGTGGCCTCACCAGTGCAGAGCAGAGGGGAAGGATCACCCAACTCTGCCTGCTGGCACCACTCCTCGCAGTGCAGCCCAGGATACTTGCTGCAAGGGCAGGTTGGTGGCTCATGTTCAACTTGCAACCACCAGGGCCCCCAAGTCCTCTTCTGCAAAGCTGCTTTCCAGCCGGGTGGCCCTCAGCGTGTATTTGTACCTGGGGTTATTCCTCCTAAGATGAAGGACTTTGCACTTTCCTTTGACCTTCATGAAGTTCCTGTCAACCAGTTTCTCCAGCCTGTTGAGGTCCCTCGGAATGGCAGCACTGCCCTCTGGTGTATCAGCTTCCTGCTTTTGTATCATCTGCAAACTTGCTGAGGGTTGGCTCTGCCCTATCATCCAGGTTGTTAATGACCCTCCCTAATCAGGGATCAGCTAGAACAAAGGCTACAGGCAGCCTGTGTCAAGTGTTGGTTAGAAGCTGGCAGAGCTACCCTTACCACAGCCTCAGCCTTACCTGCCAGCAGCAGCACCTTCAGGTTCCCAGGAGTCCCCGGCCATCCTGAACAAAGTGTCCAGATGCTCAAGAAAAGCAAGCTGAAAGAAGCAAAGCCCACACAAAGTGCCGTGTTTGTTGGCTGCCTCTTTTAGCTGCACTCTCATATAACGTATATAGCATGTATCTAGCATCTATCACAGCACATACATAGCTATGCAATTCTTGATATTGTAAGGGCTGCAGAAAAGACAAATTGAGTTTTTATTCGTTGAGTAAATATTGTGGGTCAAACCAATTGTCCAAGTTAGTTGGATTGGTTTGTTTTAAGGACATGTGTGTCCCAGCTCTGTATGAAAGTTTACAGATAAGCCAGCCTGCGGTGGAAGTTGTTGTCTCGTTCCAGAGCTGAAGGGCTAGAAATGGCTCAGTTGTACTCCTAGAGCTCTGCAATTAGTACAGTTTACTTTAAGCTGGGATTTAGAGAGATGTGGGGAATAGATCCAAAGCCCATCACTACCAAGAGAAAGTTTTGCTCCCACAACTGACTCCCACTCTCCAAGCACTCATCACTTGTGCTGCTGCTCGTGGGACGCCTTCTGGAGCTGACACACCTGAGCAACAGGACAGAACAACTAACCCCATGTAAAAGGGGATTTAAAAGGATTTTAAAAGGCCATGTTAGTGAACTGGATCAGCTCATGGAAGAGTTTGAACTTCATGCTGCAGGAAAGAGGACGGACCCTTAAGACTGAGAGGGACCAAGGCAAGGAGGAAGGTGACAAGAGACACATTTACTGGAAAGAAAGACAAGAAAAGAGAAAGGGAAGGGCCCCCAACACAGAGAACACAGATATTCTGAGTTTGTGCCTGTACCCTAATACTTGTCTAAAAGCCAGCACTTCTTAATCAGGAAGAGAACTGGGTGAATCATTGAGACACTGAATAGTCTCCTCCTATTATAGGCAACCACCCTCTTATAAGCCCTTTAACAAACTGATTCAAGGGCCATTCTTAAGAACCAGTTACTCAGCTGGTCCAAACAACAGACTGTCCCAATCCCAGAGCCTGTCTTCTCTGACAATTGCTAAATTAATTTTGCAACTGCTGTAATAAAACTAATCAGAGAAGCACTTATCTATAAATTATAAGTCAATAGTTCTGCATAGTTAACTTCCTTATGGTCTTGCTGAAGGTTGACTCAGAATCTACCTTTCAGAAGACTCTTCCTTTTGAAAGACTGTTTAATTTGATAACATGGCAAGTATTTTTTTGTTTATTTTTTAGTTTAAGTCACTAACTTCAGCTGTTTTCACAGGGCGCACATTTCCAACACATCCATATTTCTCAGCGCAGCTGGGAGCTGGGCAGCTGTCACTCTACAATATTTTGAAGGCCTATTCACTTCTGGATCAGGAAGTGGGATACTGCCAGGGCCTTAGTTTCGTAGCAGGAGTTTTACTACTTCATATGAGTGAAGAGGAGGCTTTTAAAATGCTAAAGTTTCTCATGTTTGACATGGGCCTGAGAAAACAGTATCGTCCTGACATGACAATTTTACAGGTATGATTTCAATTTTTCTAATAAAAGGGTGCTAATGTTAAATCATAATAATGCAAAGTAGGTCGCATTGTCAAAATCTGGACTTGAACTTAAATTCAGTTCTCAAAAACGGGAAAGGATAGTCTGGGAAAAGAACACATCATCTTAAATGCACTGGTTTCAAATAAAAATTCTCCCAGGGAAACTGTGAAAACCATAAATAAGAAGAGTTCTGTTATGTGTTGTATGGTGTTGAAATGACCCTGCAAATGAACCTGTCATAGGCTCAGGGATCACATCCTGGATCTTTTAGGTGGCTTCTGAGTATTTCTTTTCTTCACATAATTCCATCCAAATATCAATTGACAGATTTCTTTCACTGTTTCCAGTAAGAGTGTGAAGTGTGGACATTGCTACTATGAGTGTTAAAATATGTTTGTCTTTAGTCTCTTTGGTTTTATTCCATACAGATCCAGATGTATCAACTTTCTCGACTTCTTCATGACTACCATCGGGATCTCTATAACCACCTAGAGGAACATGAGATTGGCCCCAGCCTTTATGCTGCTCCCTGGTTTCTCACCATGTTTGCCTCCCAGTTTCCTCTCGGATTTGTAGCCAGAGTGTTTGGTAATTCTTCATAAAACTTCCATCTGTTCTTTTTGAAGTCTTATATTTGGAATCCTGTTATTAGGAATGGCATTGTTTTCCAACCTGTTCCAGGCACCCAGAGAAATATTTTACTTACTATTGATGAACAGAAGAACAACAGAGGTCATCTTACAGAGCATGTAGTATTTGCAGTAAAATGGAAAGAGAGAGGAGGAAAGCATATGACAGTCCCAAACCATCCTGTCTTTTCATCCTTATTGTTACCTTTTCCCACCTTGTAAACATTTGTAGAGAGGATGTAAAATTTGATGCCATGAAAGCATGGTAATACGACAGTGGCACTTCAACACTGACAATTAGTTTCAAGCTAAAAATAGATGTAATAAAGGCATCATCTGAGAAATATATCCATTTACTCCATTATCATAGCCTCCAACAGCGTCAGTGGAAAATTATTTTGAGGGTTGTGTTTTTAAAACACACACAGAGATGACCCTTGCAGTTTAATCATGGATTTACTCTGCAGAAACACAGGAATTTTAAACTAGTATTTCTTATCCTTACAATTTTAGCCTGACTGATAGTCTCACTTTTGGAAAATGTTCAGAAGCATATGGGGTTTAGGCTCTAAAGCCAATTCTCTTACCTATTTTTAGAATCCTCAGAAGTGAAGTTCTCTTCTTTTAATTACATTTAAATTATGAATTTACCTTGATGCTATCTTATGGACATATATTTCATAGATTAATTGTTTGGTATTTGAGAATATGCTTTATTTCCTTGTCAGTTGTTTGTTTTTCAGTTTCACTTGCAGCTTTCAACGTTTCAAAGTATTCAGTAATTTCCTTAAAGCAGTGTTTACTTGAACTATGTAAATCGAGAATGTTGGACATTCTTATACATTAGAAAGTAGAATCTCACCTTCACCCATGCTAAAGACTCTGAAGCACAAACCTAAAAAAGGCTGGAGCTGTCACTTTGCTCGTGGCTGTCGTTAGCAGCGTGGGGTGTTAGGATACGAACAGTTCTGACCCATGTGTTCACACACTTTTGCAGAACACACATGTATTTTCATTGCTCGCTTATTAGAACCCTGGGGGTGAAAGAATGTCGCCTTTTAATGTTGAAGTAACTCAGCTGTAGGTTACTAAGACTGTAAGATTGCGTTGCCGTTTTCTAACATGGTATCTTTGAATCCTTGATACTTAAGGCCCCACTGCTATTTAATAATATAATTCTTACAGACTGCTTCCTTTAGATTTCCAGAGAGTGTACTTAATTGCAAGCATCTTACAAGCCATGTGTAAAAGAAACGGCCTAGAAAGAGGTTAACCCAAAGACTGTTTTCGGAGTCAAATAGCAAACCTCCTTTTTACTTTTTAATTATTTGTCCAAACTTTCAACACTTCCCCTGAAGATCCCTTGAAAGTACAGCGTTAACAAAGATGTGTTCTTTAATACCCCTATTTACTTACTAATGGAGGATACTTGGTAGAATAATGTTTATTTTGTTTCAAGATTGTAAATAAAACTTGATTATTTTTTTTAATCCAGTAGGCTGCCAGTCATGCTGACATTAATTTGGGTACCTTCACTTTATTGTCGTTGGCTGGCAGCCCACATAACGAGGAGTGGATAACAAACAGGTCTTTGTTAAGTACATGGTATTTTAAATGAGAGGGGGATTTCAGCCATATATTACCAGCTTAGCTCATACAGACATTCGTTAACAACTTATAGGTCACCTTGAGTTAATCTACTTGTCTTTATGGGGCAGGTGCTGAATCATAAATATGCATTATTTTCCAGCTCCGTTTTTTTCACTTTGTGTTTCCTAGTTGTTCTTCAGCATTCCCTCTCCTAATATAGAGCTTTTCCTATAAAGCATTTTCCCATAGTTTTCAGTTTCAATAGAGAACTGAGGCGGATGCCTACTCTGTTACCACTTTTCAATCATTCTTGCCTTTAGACTTCACATTGAATCAGAGCTGAAAATCTTACAACGCTTTTAGGACAAATGGTGGCAAAGTGCAAGATTTATGGTTAGTTGTTACTTGTGCTTTTCTCAAAGAGAAAGAGAGAGAAGTGAAATGAGTTCAACATCACAGGCGAAAGACCACAAGGGGGAATTTCATTCTGATACAAATTTGGAAAGAAAGGTTGCTTTTACTAAGAAAGGCAGTTAGCCAGTGTTTCCATATGTTCTTTACTACATCAGAAATACCTGTGGTTTTGCTAGTAGTTGTTTCCCTTACTGTGTGGTGATTTTTTTTCCCCTCTCTCTCTATTCTTCTTCCTTTTTTTTTTTTTTTTTAAATCATTTAAGACATTTATTTGGTGTCATTGTGCTACTTTGTAAGTGATTCTGACTTCATTCACAGGTTCAAATACAAGGAAGGGAAAGAGCAAGAGAAAAGACCTTTAAAAATAAAAATATATTTAGGAAATACAGAATAAAACCACAGTATCTTCTCTTCCTTTTCCACCTCCACAAGTATTGGTTTATATGTTAGATGCTTTTGCCAGTAATGAGTCCCTCAAAATCAGGAGCTGATTCTGAGTTATAGTAGCAGGAAAGTCAAATGCAGGGCAATGCTGTTTATACTGTGGACAGATGGGTTTGTCAAGATGGGTTTCTTGTCTGATGCTTTCAGTCTCCTATTTCTTTCCTCTATAAAGACATAGGCAATGTGTAAAGGAAAAAAAAAAAAAGGAAGTTGCATTGAAAAGGTCAGTAGATACTGTGGTTTCAGTGCGCTTGAATGTATGCCAGGTGCTGTCCTCGCAGGGCCACCTGCAATATTAACACTTAAGCTGTATCACTAAGATTCCAGGGTATGTATTAATGTAGCTGCAAGAATATTAACCTAAGTGATTGAGACACATATAAAAAAAAAAAGCACATGCACATGAAACTGGAGACTGCTGGGAAGTGCACATTTAGCCTTATGTACTCAATATTGTACAACTGAGATTTTGTAGCTTTCTCCACCAGATGAGAAAAGAACAGAACTTCAGATGTTCAACTGTGTCTTCAGATGTATTTTTTGTCTGTTGTATTAGCATTTTTAAATGGCATTGGCATTAGAATTCCATTCAAATTCAGATTCCCATGAACATCTCAAAAGAAAAAAGCCCACAAAACTATTACATGCACAAAAAATGGCAACACTGACTAACTTGATTACCTGGTTTGTTGTGTATTTAGCTTAAATTTGAATTGGATTTTTTGGATGGATAAACAAGTTAATAATTGATTGTGTTAGTCAAATGTGCTATTCACAGTAATAATCTTGATCGTACAAAACTTCTAAAGCCATAGCCACAGTAATAAAAGCATGTGTCCGGCAGAGTATATCCAGATTGCCCCTATAAGAAATTGTTGTCCTTGGACATTTTACTTTTCTATTTTCTTGTCAAAAGATTACTTGCCTGATGTACTCTGTTTTCTTTGTTTTCACAGATATGCTCTTTCTTCAAGGATCAGAAGCTATATTTAAAGTGGCTTTAAGCCTTTTGGGGAGCCACAAGCCCTTGATTCTGCAGCATGAGAACCTAGAAACGATTGTTGATTTTATTAAAAGTACTCTCCCTAACTTGGGGTTGGTACAGATGGAAAAGACCATTAGTCAGGTATGGAATAATCTGAACATAGGAGTAGTAGTTAAAGAAATGCTCTTTTTAACAAGTTCTTGACAGAAAAACCACAATAGTGAATCATGTTACCTCAAGCTGAGAATTCTGTTATTGTAGTTCTGAAGGTGTTGAAAATTTTTTGAAGTAGACCTTAATTTTTGGAAGTATATGATTTAATATAGTACTTCTGTATTCATACATCTACATGTTGGTTATGGTCACTTTATGAAGCCTTTAATGAAATGGAGCTCACTTTTTTTTTCCCCAAATGTGCATAATGGCTGTTATTGGGAGCAATATTATAGCCCATATGCAGTGCATTCCACAAAAAAAGCAGCAAGGGTGGCTAGAAGCCTTCTGAGTTTTCCTGTCTCCAGAGAATCTTGCTCTCCAAGTCTCATTTCAGAAGCAGTTGACCTTACTGAAATCAGAAGCCTTCCTACGTTGACTTTGACTGTACTGGCTTTTGTGGTGCTGGTTCAGTGTGTTACAACAGTGCCTTTGTATTTCTGCCGGGAGTACACGGGGCGGTGCAGTCTCTCGCAGTGAGCAGTGACTCTAGACAGCAAAAACGGGGAATCCTTGATATATCCTTCTTAAAATGGCAGACAAGGAAAATGATGCAATATTGTTAAGCTAGCAGAAGGCTCCAGATGATAACTATAGCATTTGAAAAAATCGCAAATTATTGAAGTTAAGGCTTGCCTGTTTAGAAACCCTACCTGTTACACTTGACGTCTAATTTGCAGCAGACAAGCAGAAGATGGCTTTTAGTCTCTTTTTCTGAAGGCCTTTTGTGGTCCAGAACATGGAGGGGGTACTGCACAGATTGCCAATGCCTGCCACTCGCCCAGGGCTGAAGGAGCTCTGCCAAGCCCGTGGCTTGACAAAGAAAGCAGACGGCAGCACGGTACCTCGCAGAATGCTGCGAGGGGCTCCCTTCTGCTCCCTGGCGGCAGAGCTTCCCGCGGACATGCGCTCAAGTTAGGATCAGAAAAATTGCTTCTAGTGCTTACTATCAAAGGAAGGAGGGGAGAGCTAGAAAGCCTGTGCGAGGGGAAGGAGCGCAAGCGATTTATAGGGGCAAAGGGGATCGTATGTTACCTGCCAGGCTGAAGTGCACAGCGCTGCAGAGACTTGCAGTGCTTAGGCGACCTGTGGAAAGCCATTGGCTTTGAGCAGAAGGAGGGAGAGATGCTCTCTTTAGGCAGCTCTGACTGCTCTAAATTTCAAGGGGGCAGGTAGAAGTGAGTTGAAGGGAGAGCAGTTCCCCCTGCTTTGATCTTTGAAGAGAGCGGCTGTTTGACCAGCCCTGCAGTCCATACACATTACACATTAGCCCGTCCTGGGCTAATCCCTATCCTCCTCACGCCTTCTGCAGCATGGCCGTTGGCTTACATGCCCTAACATGCCTTCACTTAGCTAGGTTTCAAGGCAAGCTTTTGATTTGCCTCATGTTTCCCCCCTTTCAGATTTGATACTCTGGGTATGAGAGCAGGAATTTCCCTCCCTTTTCAAGAGCTCAAAGGCTAGAAGTGGCGGAGGTCATGAGAGGAACTAGTGTTCTGCCCTGCTGAATTGCACCATTTGTTTTACTGAAATTTCAACAGCGTATGTTCTCCAGAGATGCACAGATCTACAAAAAATGAAAGTTCCATATGTGTAACCAAACTCAAAGTAAAATTGTATTTTAGCCTTCTGTACTTAGATGCTCGGTATGTGTGTTTCTGCTGCTATGCAACTACTTGCGAGAATTTTTGTATAGCTTATGTAACAGGTGTCAGAAACATTTCATAAACTGATGTTTTCTTTAACTATATCCATCAGTTAAAGTTTTGTAGACAAAGCAGATAAAATAGGAAATAATTCTTGTCATTTCAACAGGCATTTAAGATAGGATTTGCTATTTGACTCATTTCCAAAAGGAATAAAGTACAAGATGTTTAAAAATTAAGAATAGCCCTTGAACGTGTATTCTCGGACTATTTTCCAGGTGCATTTTTAAATCCACTTTTGTTTCTACTATGTTCTGTGATTGGCACACTTGTTCTTTTGATTTACCACCTCTTCACTGCTTTCAGAGGAGATAACTAGCCCAGGGACATTTAGAGTCATATTTCCTGAATAATTTGAAGGCAAATGTTTGCCAAAACCTAGAAAAAGGAACATACAATAGCATTTTTTTCCTTTGGGTCTGTGCAGCTCAATTTATTTACACTCTGTGCAGCTCAATTTATTTATCTGCTTTTAAAATAAAAGGTTTTCTTAATATTCATGTATAAAACTGAGCACTCATTTTTGTGATTCATAGTTAACAATAATAGAAATCTACTTTGACATTACATAATGTTTAAGTGCATTGGTGTAAGGATAGATTATTTAATTTTCTTTCAGTCTCTAGGAGTACCATAGAATCATGAACAAACCTAGCGATGTTTACTGTTTTTCATATAAAGCTTTCATTCTACTTAGCCTTACACTTGTACCTGTGGCACATGGGCTTGGACCACACTTCTCTAAAGTGACATCTAATTCTGAGTATGTCTAGGAGGGTTTATGCCAAACTGAGATGCATTAAATTTGAAATCTAAAAAAGAGAATACTCTACAAAGTCTACACTTCTTGAAAACTTTAGTGTGACTTTGCTGAAGTCAGGCAGCAAATCAGTCTCAAAGTGTTTTAAGTAGATCCAATGCCAGTATATTGCACTCTACTGCCTCAATCTTTCCATTTCTAGAGTAGAAAATGTGAATGACAAAAATTAAGTCCTTTTTTTAATGCAGTGATTAGATATCTGAGTCTAGACCCATAGATTTTTAAAGCATTGAATGAGCTATGTCTGTGATCTGCACAGCACCTAATAATATTTTTATATACAACAGGTGTTTGAAATGGATATTGCCAAGCAGTTGCAAGCTTATGAAGTTGAATACCATGTGCTGCAGGATGAGCTTATAGATTCATCTTTAAATGACAATCAGAGACTGGATAAATTAGAAAAAGCAAACAGTAGCTTGCGCAAACAAAACTTTGATCTACTGGAAGAACTGCAGGTACAATTTATATTTCATATTTAATTAACATTCTAATTTATCAACTTTTTCAAAAGAGACCATCCAACACTAAGGCACAGGAGAAATTGGTGTTCAGTCCAGTGACTTTAAAGCATAGCCACTTGCAATTTTATTTAATTTAGCCTTTAAATTTTAAATGCAGAAGAAATTCTGAGAGGGTGGTGTATAGAGCATATACTTGCAATTAGTGGAAGGTTGATTCATCACACCACCTCTTCTCTTGTAATTAAAATCATAGCTGTAGAAGATGACTAAAAATGCACAAAGTGCTTTCTCAGCTTCATTTTTGCATTTTCAGTCACTGCTTTATAACAGCGGGGATACTAGTCTATCACAAGTGGGAAAGCTAATGCCAGTGTCACAATTTAGAGAGATACCAGATATAGGATACGTTGTCTATAAAGACATACTCTTTCTTAGAATTTTTTTTAACTGTTATCCAAATTGCTTACAGAATATGTGAAATAACAATTTCTAATATAGGCTTGGTGCCTGCTCAGTCTGCAGCTTTTTCAGAGGCAGTACACCTGGCAGTACGCCTCTGTAGGGGTTATTCTTCGCTTAACTGTTCAAGAAGGCAGCTTTCTGACTGCTTTGTAAGAGGACATTTGTTATAAAACTTTTGACCATGCATTTAGTTTGATGGAGATGGGGACTTCAAGAGTAAGAAGCAGACATTTCAAACCTCTTGATTATTGTCAAAGACATGAACTTTGTAAGATAATCGGTGAGGGAAGGAGTTCAGGTTTTGCCACCATTGGTCCTGTATCATGACCAAAGCTATGTGACTGTACAGACTTAAATTGCCTCTCTTAACAAAAATGTGCCTAATCTGTAAATTCTGATCCTGTGAGATCTGAACCCATTTCAGGTTCTAAGATGAGCTTTAGAGAAGTCAGAAGAAGAGATACTTCTCTGCAAGATATTTTCAGAAAGCTTCAGGCACATGGGCAAGGCAATAGTCGAATGTTGCATGGGGGAGAGGGATTTCCAGGATGCGATTCAAGATGTAATTTGTATAGATATGTATGTATAGATAATGTATAGATACCTGCAGCAAGGGATCTTCCACCCCCTCTTGCCCCTAAAGACTTTGCAGCCCTAAGCAGTTTTTTACAAAGCTGTTCTCCACCTGAGTGCTGGCAAGTCAGTACCGAACATCATAGTGGGGAGCTTAGTTGTCTGTAGTGTTGGAGCAATCCCTTTGTCTTGGAGGTGGGCCTCGTTAGTCTTCATTTCCTGTGGTGAATGGTGACCCATTGCTGATGGGAGGAAAATGCATGAGCAAACAACGTGGGTCATGGTTTGTCAATATTTTGCCCTCAAAGGCTGAGCTTTTTAAACCCCCAGAATAACATGAAGAGTAGTGAGCTCATCAGAAAGGCAAATACTTCCCTGAAAGCCCAGACCATCCAGCGCTGTTGTCTCTGATGTTATCGAGTGCTGAAACACATCTCTGCTTTTGTCAAAGTACCTCAGCTGCAGATCTCACATGATGAGGTTGAATGTTCTAATACTTTGGTTTGCCATGAAATAGAATGCCCATCCATGCAGCCTTTTGAAGGAGAATTTTTGGAATTTTTCAAGATGTGTTGTCTCTTCACATATTGCACTAAATCCCCTTTTCTGCCTTTGCCTCCAAATCTTGCATTTGTTGGACCTAATGCCGAGGTGAAATGAGGATCCAGCAAACAGGCTGGGTTGTCTTTGCTTTGCAGAGGATGTGGAATTCAACAAATAATGGCTGGCCAAAAATGTCTCCCAATTGACCCATACAGAGGCATATCTTAACCTGTAGTTCTTTGGTATATAATTTGCAAACTTAGTAACTTTCTAATTTCATTACTTTGCATTATATTTTGAGTTTAATTGTGAACTAAAGCAATGAAATTGAAAGAGGGAAGTTTCTTGTTATAGACGATACCATAGTTGTAGTCTAAAGTACACAGATCTAATAACATTTGTCATGCCTTTTACCTTTGCAATTTTTCGTCATTTGGAAAGTATTTTATATGTATTAACTTATCTCAAAATAGTTTAAAGTTGGCTTCAGTTATTAATAATTTTTTTTTCTTTCCCCTTCTTCCTTCCCCTCCTCCTTTCTTCTTACTTTGAAAGGTGGCTAATGGAAAGATCCAAAACCTTGAAGCCACAGTAGAGCTTTTATTGACCAGTGAAGGCAAATTGAAGCAGTCCATTCTCACTCTTGAGCAGGAGCGAGCAGCTTTGCTGAAAGCAGTGGAAGAGATGCAGAAGAAGTTTGGTGATACAGATGGGAAGCCTCTGCTTACTAGACAAGAACACATGGATGCTGACTGACATGCACAAGTGTAATGGAGCAGAGAAGCTGAGCAAGAAACAAAGGGAAGAATTGGGTCTTTTTGTCATGATCCATGGGGATTTGACATCGTCACCTTCATTGTACCTGCCTTACTGTAGCAAAGCAAGATATGGGCATGGTGGCTTCCTATATCAGAGAAGCTGGTTTCTCGGGGAGAAGGCTCTTTTTTCTTAGTATGTAGAAATACTATGAACAGTAAGAAGCCACATAATAATAAGCAGGAGAAACTTAATAGGGCATGCAGTCATACACAATATACTGTAAGGATGTCGTGGATTCTTCCATAAGTGCTTCTAAACCTAAGTGCTTTGTGTTTGTTACATATTTTGTTTGTGTGTAGATCAGCACCATGTTAAATAGCACATCCTTTAGAAGGTCCTTTGAAGACATATGGCAATGTAAAACCTTTGAATGGATGACTGCCCCATTGCAGCTATGCAGTGGTGACATTTACAGAGAGTTTTGTGATTGGACTCGAGATATTTTTGACAGTGTAAGTTTCCTACAGCTTGACTGGGATCTGTTAATTATGTTGTTTACGCTTCAGAAAACTGCTTCCTGATGCTTGAAGGTGTCAATCTGTTGGACTCCAGAGAGCTGGACTTCATCATATGTAACTATACATAATTGGGGGTTGCCATCTGTTTTTATAAGTACATCGTTTTAATACATTTTTTGTTTAACAAATGTTAATTTTGTGTATTGTTAGTTGGCATTATCTGATAAACATACTGTATATAGTAACGGCGTTACGCTTAACAAAGTACACTGACATTGGTTTGGTGAAGCCTATGACTCTTGCAACATCATCCAAGGGTTTATATTCAGAATCTTCAAGTTTTACCTTATTTATTTCTGATCTGCTGTGTGATGTAAGACATCACAGTAATGCCCACTGTCATTTTTTCCCCTTTATTTGATACTCTGTGCCTGCCCACCCACCCATCCTCTAGGAAATGTTATTCTTTAAGACTTTTTCTGAAGTAGTGGAAGCACTTCAAGAGCTTCATGTTGTGCCAGATATGCTTGAACTGTTTTATAAAGGGTATGGCAGTTTGAATTAGGATACAATTCTTTTTACATCTTTCAAGTAAGATTACACATGTAAAAAAAAAAAAAAAATTCTTGCTTTCCTTATATACAATGAAAGTAGTTTTCCAGACCAGTTAAAGCACCACTGCTACAAGTGCAATAATATCCGTGGATACCCAGTTGTTTGGGTTTGCTTCAGAACTAGGAATAGTGCCATAGTTTTCTTCAGACCCCAAGCCCAGAGTTAATAGGCATCAGTGCTTTGTTATGGTAGAGATTCACCCAGGAGACGCGATTTTTTTTTCAGAGTTTTTTCTCTGACTGGCAATGTAGAAAAGGTTTTGTTTTGCTTCTTCCTTTTCTCGTGCAATTCCCCCCAGCACATTGTGGTTTTAGTTTAATAGGAGAGCTGTAACATTCATCTACTGTGCAAAACAAATACCTCTGTGTAGGTCAAAAAAAAAAAAAGAGAATTTACTCTTCAATTTCTAGAAGCATTGTTTGACTCTGTAGTGTCTTAAATATGTCTGGTTCTTGCAAATCCACTCTGTATTCACTTAGCATTGAAAATCCGGATAAATCAATTATTAATCAATTTACCTCTTAGTCTTGTTTTTTTATTTGGAAATCCATATTGAAGCTCATGCTTCATGTTTAAAATCTTGTCATAATGGACCTCATAGTGTTAGAGCACTCAGTAATCTTGCATTTTTACAGCACAGTGCCATAATTTATACACTGACTTTTTAGCAAGAGCAATTAAAAAAATTAATAATCTATGCCTACCTCTATGTACATTTTTTTACATTTAAAAACAAAAACATAGGTGACAGTTCAGAACCATGTAAGATGAGACTTTCCTGGAAGTACAGTACCATCTACTGTGTTTATTAACGAAAACTTCTTAGTCCTCAGACTCTTCTAAATATGCTAAGGATCCAGATGTGATCTTGGGACCTGCATCTCCACACGTTGGCTAAGGTGAAATACTTTTATATTTTGCCCAGTTGTCTGTTTCCAGAGATTATTACTTAATATAATCTGAGAATGATGATACAGTGCCTGATGTGTGGGAAGGTCAAAGCACTTTCATAAAGGCACACATTACAGGTCTTCCTGTGTTTAGAGTGAGAATTGAGTCACAAAGAATCTCAGTGACTTGCACCAAATATTTTAGTTTCTCATTGATTGCTGGCACTGAAATCCAGGTCTTTTAAGTTGTGGTCAAGCTCTCTTGCTGGTTGTCTGCAAGATTGTTCCGGAAGGTCTGTAACATGTACTCTGTAGCCAGGTGGTGCTCTGCCAAAACAATTGGGAAGTGCAGTTGCTGGAAGCTTGTCCTTTCCTGGCAGCTATACTTCCCTCCCAATAACCCTCTTAGTCCTTCTGAAACACATTGTTTCCTCAGCAGGTACCTTCTCTGCAGGTATCCACCGCTCTCCAGCTCTTGCTTGAGACACTGGAGTAGGGGCACTGCCAGCAGTCCTGAGTAGGATTGTAGTATAGCATCACCAGTCAACCAATATTCTTGGGATTGTTTTCGAACACAGTAGTAATCTTTGCAAAAAGCTGCCATTACTTAGGACAAAGTCAGGAAACTGCAGCTAGTAGGACTCTGAATGAAGGACAGTAATCTACGTAGAGCACAGAGAACAACGCTTTTTCTCCTTTAAGATCTTCTTTCACCTTACAGTGGAGCAAGGAGCTGAATCAAGTGTTTTTGACTTCAAGTCCACCACAATAGCTGCTGCAATTCCACCATAATGAAACAGCCTGCTATGCCAATATGGCAGAACAGACCACCACCTCTTTCTTAGCCAAGTCAGCTGGGACAGTGTCAGTGCCCTTAGTGCATTCCCCTCTCTCCTGGGAGGTTGGCTGCTTAATTAGATACTGCACCTTAGATAATGCAGACATCTAGCTCTGAGGCACTTCTGGCCTCCAGCAGCTTCTGGCTTCAGTGCCTGCTGGCCTTGCAGCCATTCAACGAAAAGCTGGAAGAAGCCAGGTGCTTCCCCCCCCATCACCATCTCTTGGGAGCTGCATTGAAGCTGAGGCTCTTGTGCTTGGTCCCTGCCTGAGCTATGTTGCAGCCACACTTGCATCAAGCCACCTACTCTTGTTGATCCTGACCTACAGACTTGGCTTCCTGGCTTGACCCCAGACCTGCCCCACCACCATGGTCTTTTCTGGTGACCTGGACTGTTGACCTCCCTTGCTTGTCCTTTTTGGGCATTGTGGGACTGCCCCCTTGTCAGTAGGTTTCTGCCCTTGCCTGCCTGCCTGTCACCCTCAGCTCCCGGCTCCCTTTCCGCCTCAGGGCAAAGCCTGCCCTTGCTGCTCCCCAGCACAGAGCCCCATTGCGCGGCTCAAGTTACTCGTCTGCATCGCTTCTGATTCCGGTGCTGGGCTGGTCAGAGCTTGCTTAGGTGCCTCGGCATGCCACTGCTCTTCACTGAGCAAGCAAGCCAGTTCTCTTAGCGCTTGCTTAAGGGACCTCCAACACAATGGTCGCACTGTGTAAACGGGCTTTTACTAGACTTCCATCTATTTCAAAATACTGTGATCACATTCTTTTCCACTTCAAACAGTGCACCGTATTTGCATGCTATGTTTATGACACCAAAAAAGCGCCTAAAATGAAAAGAATAAATTTTGACTACAGCTGGATGAATGCCATGATCGCTGGAGGCACCTTAGATCATTGCGCAGTATTTATACTGTGTCACGCCCTGTGATGTGAAATAATTTTTCTTTAACAGAGCTTTACTAGAACAGGTACGTGGGAGGGAGAAAAACGCTGGCAGCCAAGCTAACCGTCGGGAATGTAATCCAGGCATTGCCTTCGGAAGGCACATGTGTGGCTTCCACCCACTAAGTTTTACATAACCTAAATTAGGGTGGATCACTGGGTGCTCATTTGCTCATGCAGCTGCCAGAAAGTGTTCCTTTCATCTAAACAAACCTGAGGCTGCAAGAATTCAGTGCCCCAAAGTAGGCCTTTTCAGCATAACCCAGAGTAAATCAGTAAGTATTTCATTATGTGGAAAACTCTACTTATTCCTTCGTAAAAATTGAGTTTTTCTTCTGTCTAATTGTATCATGTATTTCCATGGTGTTAGAAAAGCTTTGGGGCTATAGATGCTAAAAGATGATGAAACTCCTTTTACAGAGAGAATGGAGATGATTAAAACAGGGCTTCTGGAGAAGCTTGTACTAGCTCCCTGTCCCTTGCTTTTCCCATGTAACATTTCAGAACCCCAAAGAGATTGTATGAAATTCTCCTGACATTTCTAAAGTGTTAGATTTCACAAGTAGAGATTGCTGCTACAGAAAGAGATGGAAGGAGGATTCTGCTTTTGATTAGGAGTAAAATGATAAACAAAAATGTTGTGACAACAGTCATATTGGTCCTAGGCGCAACTGGATGCCTACTTCTTGCTGCCACTCTCTAGCACTTCTGTAATACCTTCCATTTTGTTAATATGTTATGCTAGACTACTTATCTACAGAGGAGATGATAGATTAAGATATGTTTTTCATTTTCCAGCTGAAAGCAGAATATGATGACTACCTTTTATATCTGTCTGTTCTTCTGTTACTAATGAGACAGCAAATTTCCATTTCTGACTGGTTATTTGCAATTCAATCTAATCAAGTTGGTCCTCAGGAAAAAAAGTCTTCTTGCTACAACTTGATTTGCCCTAATTCTCTTGAAAGTGGGGTTTTTTTGACTGTTTAACTAGCATTTAAGAAGTTTCCAAGTTCTGTTTTCTGAGATTTTTTTTTCATAAACTGTTATTGGATGAACAAACACTCCTACATGGAGTCTTCTTCCAGGTTTCCAACACCTAATGCTTAGCATGTTGTTGTCTCTGCAGATAGTGAAATGTCTTGCAACATCAAAGGTCTGGAATTGCCGAGGTAACAGTTGACTCAAAGAACATGTTTCTTCCACATATTAGTCAAGATGAACTGAGTAGCTGGAAGAGCTGGCCACTGATTGGGACTTTGAGCTCATGAAGCCATAGATTCTTGATGGGATTAGTGGTACATTTATGTCTTCCCAGCTCATTATTTGCAGTTTTCTCTTAGGGCATATCACAAAAAATCTGATCCCAAAACAAAGTAAACAAAACCTGAAATGCGGTTGCTGTTTAGTATTTAATGGCCTGCTACACCAATTGTGTCTAGTATTTTTTGGTAAGGAATCTCAAATGGTGGTTTCAGTGGTTAGAGACTGAGGTAACAGGCAGATACAGAGGAGCAGTGAACTGTGCAATTGG